GGGCATGGCGGCGGAGCAGGAGCGGGAACCCTCCCCACCAGCGCTGCCCCGGGCCGGCAGCGGGAGCCATCGCCTTCCGGGCCGCAGCCAGACGCAGACCCGCGAGCTGCCCACGCACGGGGACCCCACCTGCCCAGCTCACCTGCGAGCTCCCGGGCCAGGGCCCGGCCGCCCCGCCTTGCACAGCCCCCAGCCGGTCCCCGCGGGCGCCGCCGGGCAACGTCGGGGCTGCGGGTGGGGCCGGAGCCCGGGAGCCCGCGAGCCCAGGCCGGAGGCTCGTCCTGCCCCACCCGCCCCGCCTGGCCCGGTGCCGGCAGGAAGGAGCGGGGCGTGGGGGTTCTCGAGGGAGGGCGGGGGTCGTGGGGCGCGGAGGTGACACTGGCGGATGTCCCGCCCGCCTGGAACTCACAGTACACGAAGGCTAGGGCCTTCAGGAGCACGATCCGGGTCAGCCAGAAGGTGCCCGCGTGGAGGTGAGCCGGAGAGCCTGCGGGGTCACGCCCCGGCGCGGGCGGCGACTCGGGCTCCGGGTCCGAGTGCCCGGTTTTCCTTTTCCTCAGAGACTCCTCGGGCGCCGCCATTGCTGGGCCGTCAGGGCGCATGCGCAGGAAGGGCGCACTCCCAGAGGCCCCGCCCAAGCTCGGAGGCCCCGCCTCTCCCTTTTCGGCCCTGCCCACCCCCGAAGGCACCACCCACACACCGGGAGGCCCCGCCCACGAGCCCAGAGCCCCCGCCCTCTCCCGCCGGCCCCGCCCCCGCAGAAAGCTGGTGCCCGGATCCGCCGCCCCTCGCAGTCCTCGCTGGGCACTGCTGCGGTTAGGGCGCGGGGCTGGGTACCTGGGAGGTGGTGCGGATCGCCCGACCCGACCTCACTGGGGCAGGCATGCACGCGGGCTTTCTGTCGGTCCGCGTGGCAGAAGCCCAGGTGCCCTCCCCCAGCCATTCCCTCCCAACCATCGTCCTGGGGGAGGTGGACTGCGGACACCCTGGCGGTGCCGCCACTGCGTGCCCCTGCCTCACAGCTGACCCTCATTCCCACTCTCCACAGAGGGTGCTGCGGCGATCTTCGCAGCTAGCAAGACGCAGAGTAGGCATGGCAGGGCCTGGAATGCGGGGGAACCCTCTCCTGCTTCCCAGCCCCAGCACCCTTCCGCCTTTGCCCAGCCCAGCTCCTGCCAGCCCTGAGGACTGGACTTCAAGCTGTGGCAGAAGAGGGGGACTCAGGACTCAGGAGGGAAGGACTTACTGCTCAATGCCCCAAACGGAACCTGAAGGAGGATGCCAGCAACTCTACACTCTGATGACTCAACGGGAGTTCCAGGGGCTGCTCAGAAGTGGGTGCTGGGAGAGGCTGGAGTCACAGGCATTCCTTAGAGGAAAGGAAGCGAGTGAGGCTGGAGTAGGCACTGGAGACCTAGGGGTTATTTGATAAAATGTGGGGCACGTGGATGGAAATCAGGAAGTACTGATTTCTCCTTATTTGTTTATCAGAGCTCTTTACATATGAAAAGTCCTGTTCTTCTGTGTACATTGGAAATGTTTGTCCTGGTTTTTTGTTTTTGTTTTAACGTGTTCTTGTCTTTAGCCCCTCTAGTGTTCCTAGTGTTTTGGCCTATAAATGATCACCACTGGTATGGCCACATGACCCATCTTTACTGCTTGTTTAATTACCTGTTTATATCTTCGCCACCTGTGGAGTGAGCCTTGTGTGGGCAGAGACTGTGGACATCGGGCCCCCAAATCCAGGCCTGACAGGCTATGGCCAGAGCCTCCCCAGAGCGTCCAGCCTCCCCATGTCACTGGGGTCGTGGCATACATGTACAGCTTATGGTTTGATTTTAGTTTTTGTTTCTTTTCCATGAAAACCTCCTTAGGAGTCCAGCTATGAAATGAGACCTGTAAAAGACGTTGCCATGGGTGTGAACACACCAACATCCTCGCACACTGGCCAAGCCTCTGGGCGCGGTGTGTGCCTGAGGGCTTGGAGCCTTGGGGATCGCAGGAGCCGTCGGCCCTGGCTGGCACCTGGCACACAGGTCCCTCTGCAGGGCCCACGACCGGCACCTCTCCTCGTGGCCTGGGCCACCAGCTTCGGAAGGGCCAGCACAGCCCCCACTGCTCCCCTCCTGAGTGGGGAACGGGGAAACCCCTGAACCCTTGGGTCATGCCTGCAGGGCGGGCCCTGTCTGGATGCCAGGCCTGCTGGGGACAGACGGTGAGAGAGAGAGCCCTGCGTCAGGTGTGGCCCCGAGTTGTCCTCAGGTGGGGCTGCCCTCACAAGGAGCCTTTGTGCGCAGCTTCCCCTCGCCGGGCAGAGCCACTCTCCCCAGGAAGGGCACAATGGGGCATTGTGCAGAGCAGAAAAGGGCCCCTTGTTCCCGCTCCCAGCGCCCCGGGCCCTGGCTCTTCGTCTGCTCAGGCTGGGAGCAGCCGGCGGAAGGGTCTGCTGGGAGCTGCTGTTCTCTCTGAGCTCAAGTTTCCCTGGGAGCTTGACCTCTGGGACACTGACCGCAAGGGGTCCCATCCACGGCCTAGAATGGGTCCACAGCAGGCCACCGGGGCAGGGCTCGGGCCGAGGAGAGGTGGACCAGCAGCTCTGTTTGAGCCCATTTCAGCCTGAATTTCATCAAAAGTGTACTGGGTTAGGATTCGGCCACAAAAAGGAATCCAAGAGCTAGGCACGGTGGCTCACGCCCTGTCATCCCAGCACTTTGGGAGGCTGAGGCGGGTGGATCATCTGAGGTCAGCGGTTCAAGACCAGCCTGGCCAACACGGTGAAACCCTGTCCCTACTAAAAATACAAAAAAATTAGTTGGGTGTGGTGGCACACTCCTGTAATCCCAGGTACTCAGGAGGCTGTGGCAGGAGAATCGCTTGAACCGGGGAGGCGGAGGTCCCAACGTGAGCTGAGATCCCGCCACTACGCTCCAGCCTGGGCCACAGAGTGAGACTCTGTCTTGAAAAAATAAAATACAAAGGAATCCAGTTCGGACACATGTTACAAGATGGACGAACCTCAGAACATCAGGCTCGGTGAGACAGGACGGATACCAAGGTCACAGGTTGTGTGAGCCCATTTACCTGAAGTGTCTGGAGCTGGCAAAACCACGGGAAAGGAGGCAAGATGTGTGGTCCAGGGCTGGGTGGGGGGTGGGGATTGAATGTTTCACAGGTAAGACGTTTCCTTTTGGGCTGGTGAGAATGTTCTGGAACTAGGAGGTGATGGAGCCTCAGCACGGTGAGTGGTTCTCCGGAACGTGGTTCATGTCATGCTGTGCGAATTTCACCTCAAATTTTAGAAAGGTAAAATGGAAACAGAAGGACAGCCGACAGCCCTGCGCTGGCGTTTCAGGACCACCGGAACCCGCCGTGCCATTTACTCTCACGGGTTCGTCTACATTACGAAAAAGCTAGCAGTTTGAAAATGACGTTTGGAAACAGATGTGTCTCATTCCCTAAGAAGGCGCTTCACTTAGAAACGGAGGATTCTCTGCAAACCCAGACAGAGCTGCAGCGGCCGGGAGAGGGGCCAGCTGGGGTCCCTGAGACGGCTCGCTTTCACCCTGCAGCTCAGCCCACTGCGGCCACGGGCACGTGGGCTCCGGCCTGGGCGCCTCTCACCAACACGAGGCGGGAGGAGGAGGGTGTCCTGAGCGTGGCCGGTCAAGCAAAAACTCTTAGGGAGAGGCCTGAGGGAGCGGAAATGAGGCTCGGCCACCCCAAGGCGGCCCGAGATGCTGCGGCAGAAGAGGCTGAGAAGCGGGGGAGAGTGGAGAGGGAGGGAGTGGCTCCTCAGGGCTGCCCAAGAGCGCACAGGCTGAAGACGGGGCTGCCTCCCTGGAGACCCACTGACAAGGCTACCCTAGGTGGGACCCTGTCCCCGCTGTCCCAGCCTGCGCCAGCACAGCCCCCGGGATCCAGGCACACAAAGCCTGTGGCTGGCCGCGCTCCCAGCAGCTGCGGACCAGCTTCACGGAGGAATGAGCCCGTCGGCACCTCGTCCAGCTGTCCCCCAGCACCCCGGCCTGGCAGCTCCCGCTGCATCGGGGCCATTGTCCCTGGCGTGTGGTTGCAGCTGTCTCTGGCACCCACAGGAACCCAGCATGGGCCCGAGGCTAATCGTGCACCCTTCATTTACCCCCATTTTTCATGTCCTGAGGTCTGTGTATGGAAGTAGGCCCAGGACCCATCGATGCTAACATCTGTCACCTCCTTCTAGAAGTGTGGTCAGTGTGGGCAGATCCTACCCGGACTGTCCAGGGGCCAACAGCCCCCACCATGTGAGGCTGGCAGGTGCGGGCGGGGGCTGAGCGAGTAGGTGTCATGCCATTTGCTGGTTGTCCTGGGAGCATGACTCACAGACGGCTGTTCTGCTTGGCTCGCCCTGTCCTCTCCCTGCACCCTCAGCTCCAGGCCACGAGTGCCCCCACCCCTGCCCCCCAGAAGGAGATGTGGCTCTTCGTGACCCTGCAAGCCGGCAAGCCGTGGTTTCTAGACAGAACGGAAAGCAAAACACCCCATGCGGTGATGGTCTCTGGTTGTAGGGTTCTATGCGAGAAAACTAATGTGTGATTTTTTTTTTTTCTCTAGGAATCATATTCTGCACTGGAAAAAACCTTGGAAGTTGCCTAGCCCAGAGGTCACAAACCACAGCCCTGCAGGCTGAACCCTGCCCACAGCACAGTGTCTCTGTAGCAGTCACCAACGGCCACAGTAACGCTGCGTAACAAACAGCCTCAGAGCCCAGCGCTGTGTGTCACCAGGCGGTGCTGCCCAAGCCCAGGCCCTGAGGACAGGACAAAAGCAGAGCTGGGCCCATCCCCTCTGCCCCTTCCTCTGAGCCTCGGAAGCAAAGCTTTGCTGAAGGCTCTCGTCCGCACCCAGGCTGTGGAGGAACCACACTCCCTGCTCCCACCTTGCCCCTTGTACCCGCCTGAGGGCATCTTAATTAAACTTTCCTTCCCCACATTCAGAAAAATAAATACTTTGGAGACAGCAGAGACATTTTTACAGGGTGTGTTTTAATTTGCCTTTGGCACTAATGGGACTCTGGGACATTCCATCCTGGCAGGGGAGGTGAGGGTCTGAGCGGCCAGAGCCCATCTTGAGAAATGGGTTTTTCTTCGTGGCATGCTTATGTGAAGCCACCATTTTCCCTCCTGGTTATTCTTGAAATGGGGCTCCGTGTTGGGAGTTTCAAATGTGGACGTTCTGGGCAAGGAGCCTCGAGGAAACTGAAGGTTGAGCTTGGATGGACAGGCACAGGTCTTGCAGCCTAAGTGGGCACAGAGGCTGGAGTCAGTCCTCTCCTGCTGGTGGGCTGAGACAGCCCCCCAGGCCTCGTCCCTTCTCACTGGAGCTCAGCCCCCAGTGCCTGGGCCGGGGATGGGCTGGGGGCTAGGGTGCAGGGGAGCCAGGGCCTGGCATCCCACAGTTCGGGTGTCTGGTGTCAGATGGCACCCTCCCACGCAGGGCACAGAAACCCACATCGAGCCTGCGGGATTTACTGCCACGAGCGTTAGTGTCCAGGGAAGGCACCGTTGGGCTCCAGGTCTCCAACCCCACCCCAGGCTTGGCGTCCCTCGGTGGAGATGAGGCTGACGCCCGCTGGGAGCCCCTTGGTGCTCACCTGTCCTTGGCTGCTCGGAGCCCCAGGGCCCCTGCCTGGGATGTTTTGGGGCTGCAGGAGGACCCTCTGCCCACTGTCAGAGAGCAACCCCCCCCCACTGAGAGTGGAGATGGACAGGGCCCAGCCGGAAGCTTGGGGACCCGCTCCCAGCCTGGCGTGATGGATGCTGAGCAGCGGGAGCCACAGCTGTTCCCGACGCATCCGTGACCTGGGTGTGCAGCTGTGGCTGGGGGCAGGCAGCGCGGCCCCCACACTTCAGTCTGAGCAGCGCCTGCTCCCTGAATCCTTTCCACATGACAGCAGCCGGGGCAGGGGTCCCCAGCGGTCAGGGGCCACTCCTGCCAGCAGGGGTTCATGGCTCAGGAGGCTCCCGGTGCATCAGGGGACTGGGAGGTGGAGACGGCGAGAGCTGGGCTGGAGCTGGTCGCCCTCCGTGGAGGCCGGGGCATCAGGAGGAGCAGGAGGACGTCTGGGACAGGAAAGGCTCACTGAGTGCTTTTCCACGGCCCCGTGAGCGCAGGAAGCTTAAGGCACAGACAACACCAGTTCTCAGGCAGACGCCACCCCAACCAGCGGGCCAGCCTCAGCCCAAACCAGAACTCGTGCCCCACTGGCACTGCCAGCACCAGAGACAGCTAAGTACAGGGGCCGCACCCTACCCAGGGCTCCCAATGTGCGTGGCCAGGAAGCCGACTCGGGAAGGAGGTCCTGAGACGGGCCCTGCAAACCCCTCCTCTCCCCTGGAGACCTGGGCGGGTGCCTTTCCCAGCTTCTGCTCACAGCCTGCTCGGCCCAGCCTGTAGTCACTCCGTCTCTGCCAGACCAGCAGTCATTAAAATCACCAATTAATGTCCCAGGCCGTGCCAGGATGCTGCCAACTGCCCCACGGGTGCTCGGGATGCAGGGGCTGGGAGGCCCAAGCCAGGGCTGTGCACACATGGGATGCCAGCGGGTTCACGCCCGCCCGGCCCTGCCCGCCCTTCTCACAGACTGCACAAAAGATGGGCTGCCTGCTGCAGGAGGAGGGCCGGTCGGGGGCAGACAGTGGGGGACAGGGGAGGACAAGCAGGGAGGGACGGAGGGGGACGGGGGGACGGGCAGGGAAGGACGGAGGGGGACGGGGGGACGGGCAGGGAGGGACGGAGGGGGACGGGGGGATGGGCAGGGAGGGATGGAGGGGGACGGGGGGATGGGCAGGGAGGGATGGAGGGGGACAGGAACAGGTGGGGATGGATGGAGGGGGAGGTGGAGGATGGGCAGGGAGGGACAAAGGCCTCTCCAGAGTGGCATTTCCATGGGCAGCCCTGCTTCCTTCTTGGGCCCTGGGCCCAACACACACCACACACACACACACACACACACATCCCTCACGCACCCCATACACACATCATACACACGCACACCACATACATACCACACCATACACACACCCTACACACATACACCGCACACATCCCACACACACATACACAGTCACCACACACACCACATGTATACAACATACACCACACATATACACTATATACACATCATACACTCACACCACACACCCTACGTGCACACCCCGCACACATATCACACACATCGTACACATGCACACCACACACACACCACACCCATGCCGCGCACAACCTGGGGCCCTACACACACCACACATTCACACCATATACAGATGCATACCATACACACACCACCCCATGCACATACCACACCTCACATGCCATACAAACACACCACACACACAAACACACGTGTGTCTGGGTCACCATCCCTAGGAGCCACAGGTGGGGCAGAAGGTCTCTGGTCTGGAAGTGCCCCCCCCCCGGCCATCCCTGCCCCATCTCATGGGCAGTGGCACCTTCCCCCCACACTCCTCTCTGCAGCTGTCCTTGGCACCCAGGCCAGGGCGTGTGGGGCTAGGAATGGGGTCTCCACCAGCCCTCCACACCCAGGGTTCACGGCCAGGGAACAGCTTTGGTCCAGGTTCCCCATCAGGTCCTCACCCTGAAACCACATGGCCCACCAGCCGGGGTGAGGTCGGGGCGGGTGGGGTCATGCAGACAGGGTGACGCTGGCCCCCGCTGAGGGGAAACGGGATGAGGGGTGCAGGTCCCCCTAGATGAGGACACGGGCCCATCAGGTGGACTCAGAGGGGGCTCCGATGGTTACCCCTCCACTCTCAGCCCCCAGGTCCCCTGATCTGGCTTCCCCAGGGAACATGCAAGCTTCTCCCTGCAGGAGGTGGGAACCTTCAGGGGTCAGCTTAAATGACACCCAAGATGATTTTCCGGACCACTCTTCCTGAAGTCCCTGCCTCTGACAGGTGCTTTTGGGGTTACCTGCTGCCCGCCTCCCTCCACAAGGCAGGTGCTGCAAGGTGGTCTGGCCCCGTCCTGTGCGGGAGAGCGCATGGCACACTCAAGTGTTTATTCACTGCCTGGTGGCACTCAACCCACCCCCACACCTCCCACTCTGAAAGCTCCGTCCCGGCGTCCACTCAGGGCCTAGTGGCTCACACCCATGGGGGACAAGGGCATTTTTCTGGGGACTTCAAGGTGGACCAGAGACAACTCTGGAAGGAGGGCTTCAGGGCACCACCCTGCATGGGGACCCTCACCCCCATTCCACCCTCCCAGGAGGGAACCAACACGTCCTCAGCTGGCCTAGGGCCCCCCTACACCCAGAGACTCCCCACCTCCCCACACCCCCAGTGGCAGCCTGCACGCCCAGCAGTACCTCCCCTGGTGGCCACTGCAGCCTGAGGGAAAGGTGCAGGCCCTGGTGGGCCCCGGACAGGGCCTCGGATGCACAGATCACTGTGCCCCCGCGTCAGGCCCTGGATGCCCCACTCACTCTCCCTTCCTCCAGGGGCCCTGGAGTCCCCCATCTGTGTCGCAGGGACAGAAGCCTGCGTGGTGGGTGGGGAGGTGGGAAGAGGCCGCCCTGCCTGCCTCTTTCTTTTCCTTGGTAAAGAGGAGCTCTCCATAGAGGCCCTCACCTGGATGGCGTGCGTAGCCCAACTGGGCAGTGTCTGCTCTCCCAGGGGCAGGGGGTGGAAGGTGGCACAGTTTGGGCCAGACCGCACCCTCACTGCCCGCACTTATACCCCCACTTCTGCCTGCCTGTGTCCCAGGCCTAACAGACGAGTCCATGAGTGCCCAGGCTTCTGTCTCCACTGGGAGCCCCCAGAAGTCCTCCTTCCCGCATCAGGGATGCTCTGAGGGCCACGGGAGGGAAGGGACCCCGAGCGGAGGGCAGGGCCTCTGGGGAGAAGGGGCAATGCAGATGGAGGTGTGGGTCTTCCATGGCAGGTGCCAGGGCCAAGCGGCCGGTGGGGTGGCAGCCAGCTCTGCAACTGCGACGGATGGAGACTCCCAGCGCGCAGTCCGCCTCTCCAGCGCTTCCTCTGACCTGGCCAGAGGTCTGCCCACTTGCAGAGATGAGGCCCTCCCCTCCCGGCGGGTGGCAGGGCCCTCGCTCTTCAGCCCGGAGGCCAATGCTCCCTCGAAAGGCCCTGGGCCCTCAGCTCCCCATCATGGGGCTGGCTTGGGTTGTTTCCAAGGCAAGACAGCAAGGGCCCCGGGGCCCAGGCCTCCTCCACCTGCAGACGGGGGCGGGCGGCCGCTGGGGGCACCAACTCTCCACAGTTGGGGACAACTCTTGCCAGGCCAGAGTGGGGATAGGAGGCGCCTCCTGCGCGGTTGGTGGTGGCCCCAGGTTCGCGCGGCGCGCGGGCGGGAACGCGGCACCATGACCCCCGACTTTCCATCTGGACTGTTCTGGTAACGGACCAGCTCCTGCCGGCGGGACCGGGGAGACGGCGTGGCTCGGGGGCTGCGGCGGCCACTGGCCCGGGCGTGGACGCTTTAGGGGCACCAGCGCGTTGGGGCACCCGGGTTTCGCGGGCCGCAAACTCGGAGACGCGCGTGTCCCGCGTGGGCCGCCTGATCAGGAATAGCGTAGCCCCGTTGCCTCCGGCGCGTTGGTTGAAAGAATCCGAGCCAGCCTCGGGGACGGCGGGGCCCGAGGCCACCTCTCGGGGGCAGCCTTGGGCGGGGACCCGAGCAGCGGCCGGGCGCTCGCCTCCTCGGAAAAGTACCCTCTCCGACCCCGCGGTCTCCACCAGGGCGGCACACCCCGCCCTCTCCCCTCCTCCGCAGGCGCCCGGGGCGCAGAGGCTCGGAGCGGCCTCCGCCTCTGCCGGACCACCCAGGGCCGCCCCGCCGGAGGCCTCCCCGCCCCCGAGCCCTGGGTCACGCCCGGAAGGCCCGGGGCCCCCGCGTCCGGCCACGCCATCCGCCGGGCGCCCCAGGGACTCAGCGCCGGGGTCAACGCAAGCCCCGCCCAGCGCTCCCGCCCCTCCAGCTGCCCGGCTCCTGGGACCGCGCCCCCGCCGGCGCTCTCCACGCACACGCCCAGATGGGGAGGGAGACCCCGGCTCCGCCAGCTACGAGCCGCCGCCCCTGGGCGCGCGTTACCTGGATGTGCGCTGCCCGCAGACTCTGGACGAGCTGGGGGGGCTCCTGCCCCTCGCGCCGACCCTGCGGGCCGGGAGCCCCGGCTTAGGCGCCTCGCGGCGGAACGGACCCTGCCCTGGACCGCAGGCAGCAGCTGACCCCAAGCCGCCGGGCTGCGGGCGAGACCTGTGTGTGTGCGTGTGTGTGTGTGTGTGTGTGTGTGTGTCTGTGTGTGTGTGTGTGTGTGTGTGTGTGCCCGCCGACTCCCAGGAGCCGCGCGGCGCCCGCACTAGAGAGGGAGCGCCGGAGACCCCCCTGCGCCCACCCGGCCTCCCTGCCCCTCTTCCCTTCCCGGGGCTCCGGAAAGGGGAGCTCCAGGCGTGGGGCGCCGGGCCCACGTGGTGCGGGGAGGGCGGGGGCGCGGCGAGAGCGGCGGCGCTTTCTTTATGGGTGGGGGGGCGGGGGCGGCCGGGCTCCGCCTCCGGGGGAGAGGGACGCGCTCCACCAATGGGCAGCCGTGCGGGGGGCGGGGCCGCGGGGCCGCCGCTTAAAGAAACTTGTTGCGGGTCCCGGAGCGGGAACCGAGCCTCGGCGGCGGGGAACGAGTGTCGGGCTACCGCGAGGCGACTTCGGGTCCCGGAGCGGCCGCAGGGCAGCCCCGGGCGCCGGCCCGGGTGCGCGTCTCCTGTGCTCGCCCCTCCGCGCGCGGCCCAGATGCTGGACATGAGCGAGGCCCGCACCCAGCCGCCCTGCAGCCCGTCCGGCACTGCCAGCTCCATGTCGCACGTGGAGGACTCGGACTCGGACGCGCCGCCGTCGCCCACCGGCTCCGAGGGCCTGGGCTGCGCGGGGGGCGCAGCGGGGGGAGCCCGGGGCGACACGGCGGAGGCGGCGGACGAGCGCTTCCCGGCCTGCATCCGCGATGCCGTGTCGCAGGTGCTCAAGGGCTACGACTGGAGCTTGGTGCCCATGCCAGTGCGCGGCAGCGGCGGCGGCGCGCTCAAGGCCAAGCCGCACGTGAAGCGGCCCATGAACGCCTTCATGGTGTGGGCGCAGGCGGCACGCCGCAAGCTGGCCGACCAGTACCCGCACCTGCACAACGCCGAGCTCAGCAAGACGCTGGGCAAACTGTGGCGGTGAGTGCCCGCGCCCCGGGGTCGGGAGTCGGGACCCAGGCCGCCCCTGGTCCGGGACTGCGAGCAGGGCCTGGAGGGCTCAGGGCAAGCGGGGGTGGCGGCCGAAAGCAGGCTCCAGGCTCTGCTCCCGGGGCGGGTGTCAGGGCGGGTCTCCGTGGAAAGACACCCTCTGGCCAGCCAGGGTTCGGAGCCAGGAATGGGGATCCGGGTCCGCGGAGGGCAGCGCCTGGGGTCCGCACCCTCGTGGTGGATGGACTCTTGAGCCAGTTTTCCTAGCGGAGAACACCCTGCGGAGGGCCATGGCTGGCACCCCGACGTGCCCCCCGGCCGCTGCGAGTGTTCCCAGCCCCAGGAGGCCCGTTGGGCACGGAGCAAGCTGCATGCGGCTCTCTGGAGGTGCCCCCTCCTTAGAAAGGGCTCAGCCCCTCCGGCTTCTCGTCCACGCTTGGGGAGGGAGAGGGGCAGGCGAATGGGCGGGTGGC